CGCGGCTCCTGCTGCGGCTGCGCGCGCGCTCGGCGCCGCCGTTGGCCGCCTCTCCTCCCCCTCCTCCGCCGCCGCCGCCTCCGGCCAGCTTCTTCGACAGCGCGATGGCTGCGGCGATCGCAGCCGACTTTTGGGAGTCGTTGGAGTGGTAGTTTGGCGCCGCGGCCGCCGCCGACGCGGGCACGGGCCTGCCGCGCGCCGCCGCCCGCATGTTGAGCACCTGCTCCGCCAGCGCCGTCTGCTGCTGCTGCAGCAGGCGGAACTGCTGCACCTGGTGCGCCTGCAGTGCCATGTACGGGTTGGCCACCTGCGGGGGAAGGGGGGAGGAGGAAGGGGCAGGGGAGGCTACAGTCAGCACAGGCGGGGGCCAGCAAACCAAGACACACGAGCCAGAGAGAGGTAGGCCGGGGCATGCCGCAGCCCACCCAGCCAGCCCCTTCTTCTCCGTCGTCCCAAGGCACGCTGCTGCTGCTGCACGCGCCCCGCGCCGCGGCTGGCCCCAGCCCGGAGCACACCACCGCCCAGCAGGCCCTCTCCCCCCGCTCACCGTGGTGGCCGCCGCATCCGCCGCCTTCTTGGCCTCCGACGCCAGCTCCACCTTGAGCGGCTGCCCCATCAGCGACACGCCGCTCATGGCCAGCGCGGCAGCTGCACGGCGGGGGGGCGGGCGGGCGGGCGGGGTCGGGAGGGGCGGCAGCGGGGGCTGCGCGCAGCGGCTGGCTCGCGGGAGGAGGCCGTGCACCGGGCCCACGGCACACCGGAGCGGCAGGCAAGCAGTCAAGCAGCAGCCAGGCAACGCAGCCAGGCACCAGCCAGGCAGTGAGCGGCTCCCACAGGGCTCCTATGCAGGGCTCATGTGCGCAGGGCAGCCCCCCACTCACTGGCTTCCTGCGGCGACCCAAACTCGAGGAACGCGCAGCCGGTGTTGGCCCCAGCCAGCGTGCAGCCGCGGATGGAGCCGCAGAAGGCAAACACCGACTTGAGCTGCGGGGGGTGGCAGGGGCAGGCAGGGAGGGTGAGCAGGGCAGCAGGGGGCGAGGCGGGCAGGTGGCGAGGCGGGCAGGCGGGCAGCAAGGTGGGCAGGCAGGCAGGCAGGCAGGCAGGCAGGCAGGAGGGTGTGGAGGGGGCTTTGCCCCCAGCAGGCTGGCGCTGCGCTGCGCCGGCTGGGGGGCGGGGGCAGCGAGGCGGGGCACCCACGGCGCCGCGGCAGCCCGGCAGGAGGCTGGCAGCCCGGCAGCAGGCGGCGGCAGGTCGGCAGCGGGTCTCACCGCGTCAGGCGTGGCGTGCGG